TGATGTCGTGAAGTGTGTATATTGTGATGAGAGCTGCGAAGGATACTCTATGGAACTGAGCTGTAGGATCTTGTTTTTTATCACCGGTACACAGTGATCAGTATATCTCAGAGTAGATGCAGTTCAATCATGAACAAAATTGTCTTCATTTCCATTCTGTTAGAATGTGTTTTTAAAATTAATTTCTTCCAAAGCACTGAAATTTCATTTCCCCAGAAGGGGAAAAGAAAAACATAACAAATCATTTTTATCACTATTAAACCTTAGAGTTTAAAAGTGAAAGGAAAGAACCTTAATGTTCTAATATACATAAGCTTCTTATATAAAGGAAAGTAAATAACCTGACCTTAATCATATTTTCAAAGGTAAACCACAAGAAATAGATTGGATTTTTAAGGTTAAAAATACTATATATGCTTATAAAATAAAATTGAACATTATTTTTAAAGGAGAAGAAAAGCCCTAAATTGAAGAAAGTATCCTCTAACTGTTTTAAACCTATGGACTCTGGGAGACAAGTATTTCAGTCCCACACATTGGAAATGGCTCAAGTGTTGTGAGCACTTTATTTGGGACTATTTTTAGAAGTAGGTTATAAATGAACAGGTAACCCCCCAAACTAAACTCTATAGTTCCATTTTACTCTAGCCAAATGCACTATAGATGAATTATTTAAGCAAATTCTCTCTTAAGTATGAGGGTTGAATGTAGTGGGCCATGCCTGTAATCCCAGCACTCAGAAGCTAAGGCAGAAGGATGACCTCACAAAATTACTTTTCTTCTTTGAGGAGACTGCATAGAACTGAGGTGCCATGCACTCTTTAAGCTATAGGAAGAATCTGCCAGTGAAACAACCTGGGTGTGGAGACTTAGTCTGTGGAAGGGCAAGAGGCTGGCCACCTGGAACCCAGCCATACCACTCGTTTACTTATGTCCTTCCAGTGTTAGGTGTCTGTGGGGCCTCACTGCTACCATTCACTGCTGTCTCCACTGCAGAAATGGTTGGAAACCTGGTCATGAGAAAAGGGAGGAAAATAACAGAAAAGAAAACTGGGTTTTCCCTACTCACTCTGCATCCAGGACCCTGTTCCATTCCCTGACCTAGAACAAATGGCTTGTACTACAGCTTCTGGTCTGCAGTGATGTGCCCTCCCGGATTTCAGGCTGTATGAGATCCAGGCCGGGGGACACCAGAGGAAAACAAAGCACAAACTGACAACCAGTTTGCAGGTACTTTGCATTCTTATGATTTCCTCCAGATCATCTGCTATTATGTACTTTTCAGGGATCTTAAGTAGAGGCTCTGTGCATTCTGGTTTTTACAGCTGCATTCCATGGAAGAGACAGGATGGAATATGGAATGTGCTTACTTCAACTTTCCTGGAACTGGAAATTCAGCAACTTTATAAAGTGTACTTCCCATAAACAGTGTTCAATTAGTTCTTGCTTTTATGTGGTCTATCTCTGCCTTTCAACTGGTACGTTCAGTCCATTCACACTGAATGCAACTACAACTAAGTGTAGTATCTTTCCACTTGCATCCGTTTGTTCCTTTTTTCCTGTCTTTTGAGCTGAATAATATCTAGAATTCCACTTTATCCCTACTTATAGCTCATTAGCTGTACTTGGTAGTTTAGTCTAAAATTTTTAGCTCTTGTTCTAGAATGGATAGTATGAGTAATTTATTATAGTTTGCCTTCAAATATCAAATCACGTCATGTATTGCACAAGAACTTCACATTATTTTGTTCATTTTTTGTTTTATCATTGCCACACATTTTGCTTCTCCATATTTTGAAGCCCACAAATGTTTGCTTTTTACTTCGCTTTGAAAGCCACAATACAGTATTTTTGCTTTAGTAAATTATCTTTAAAGAACTAAAAAAATGAGAATATAAAGCTTCTTCGGTGTATCACACATTTACCATTTTTGTCATTTACATTGCTTTACTTAGATCCCAGTTTCTGCTTAGTGAAATCTCTATCTGAGAAATCTATTTGTATATACCTCATACACTGCCAGTCTGTTCAGTCTTTTTCCTTTGAAAACATCTATATAATTCTCCTAGACACAAAATCCAGGTTGGCAGTTTCTTCCAACACTTTGAAAATGTCGTGAGTATCACCTGACTTAAGAAGCTTATGTTAAGTACTGTAGGTGGTGCTAGAAGGCAGCATGAGAGTCACACACTTGCCTCAACGTATCTGAGAAAACTGAAGGGCAACGTACAAACCAATTATGCTAAGGATTATTAGGTACAGAACAGCTGCAAATTCAAAATTTCACTAGTCATCAAACAGTATTTTGTAATTAGGTATGAGGGCATTTTGAGGATCATCAGACTCCAACATTACCTTAAACTTCCCTTGAGTGTAAACCATGAATGGACTGGCACTCTTTACACTGTCAGCAGTAAGGCAGCAAAGGCCACAGTGAAGAAGCACTTTCAATTTCCAGGTGGCACTGCAAACACAGGAAGTGCACCATACCAAAGCAAAGACAAAAATGAGGACCTAACCCCCAATGCTTAGTGTTACATTTTTGAAACGTTCATAACAATGGAATAAAAATTTTTCTCTTTAAATTTTTGTTCCTTTAATTTTTCTAGGTAACATATATGAATCTCAAGGCAAAAATTTCAAAAATTGTAATCTTTGGCACAAATGGGTTAAAAGGACTTTGTGTTTGCCTCATTTCAGTTTTGCTGTGCTCAAGTTTTCTGGAGACAGAGAAAGTGACACCATCAGGGTTTTATTTCCATAAGGAACACTATGACCTCAAAGTAGGAAAATGACAAGGGGCAGCTTTTCTCTAAAGGTGTTTCTTTGCATCTATATGTATTTTTTTGTACTGAGACTCAAACTCAGCACCTTGTGCCTGAGAGGCAGGCAGTGGCACCACTGGGCTAAATCCCTGGCCTGTCTTTGCATCTATTAAATTCAACCTGTGCATCAACAGTGAAATCAAAGCTACCTCAGAGTTTTATGAAACAGATTAGGAGAATGACCACCTCAGCTTTAAAAGAAATAGCCGATCATAGATGAAACTGAACTCCTTGTCATCTGCCCTAATCACATTTCAGCTTTCCCAGAGGCAACCTCTATGTGAATCTAGTGCTTATTGCTTTTAAGTGTTGCTCGACTTTTTCTAAATTCATGTATGCACAGTTTTTACATTTAAAAACTTTATAAAAAATGGTATACTGCAGAAGTTGCTGTGTAATGTTTCTGTTCAGTTTGTTTCTGAAGTTTATTTTATTTACGCTGCAGTGCCGGGGACTATCAGTGCTTTTTTTGATAGACACATACAATGTATGACTTCTTTGCCATAGAGATTTTATTCTACTTAGCTACCATATTTATCCATCTTCTCATGGACATTTGGGTTGGTGGCATCCAACCTTTCACTTCCACAAATTTCTGTAAAGGTTTTTATACTCATGTTGTGGGAAACACTATTCAGAGTACAGGCCTAGAAAAAATTTTTCTGAGTTGTAGGGATACATTTAGACTTAATTTGATGATATCAAACTGTTTCCTTAAATTATATTAAATAAAACTACCACCAAAAGAGTATGAAAGTTTCATTTGGCGACAATATTGCAGCATGTTGCATGGGTAAGCTTTATGTTCTTTTCTCCCTCCTGCAACTGATGTTAAGAAAGTGTCACATGGTTCCAGTTATTTAGTTTTCCCCATTTAATAGTGATACGTGATATCTTTTCATTGAAACTTGTACAGTCAGCACGTCTGTCCTCCAGTAGGCTTTTAGTGCAGGTGGGACAGAAGACTTTCATGTAATAAAAGGTTAAAATAATTCCATAATCATTCTGATTTTTGGAGCTATGTACGTGAGAACTATAGGTGCTAATAATATAAGTGAACAATCAATGAGGTTAAAACAAAGGACTGTCGAATCTGATCAGCTCTCGAACCCTGGATAAGATGTGAATAGATGGACAGGCGATAGTAGAGAGAATTCTAGACAAATCTATTTTGAATACAGAAACTACTGATATTCTCTTTAATTTATAATTCTGTTGTGATATCCCTCTTGTCACTTAGAAAATACATTTTCTTTTAGTTTTATTTACATCTTATTAGATCTTAATATTAATAATACAATATTGTAAATGTAATGCTGAACTATAATAATGTAAAAACATTTTTCATAATTATTTTGTGGTATTCCTGAGCTATATAATCTCTATTTCAAGAGCAGAAGTGAGATTTTTTAAAAATTTAAAATGTCTTCAATTAAATAATAGACCAACTAAAATTTATGCAGAAGGCAACCTCAAAAACATCTTACTTACTCAGCCATAAAGAATGAGAAAATAGATTCATTCATAGGAAAATGGATACATATTGAAGATACACTCCTAAGTGAAATAAATAAGGCACACATGTGTAAATACCAAATAGTTTCTCTGGTGTGAATAAAATGCAATAATACATAAGATCCTAATAAGATTACTGACATTGTGAAATGGGAAGAAAGGGGCTAAAGGTGTAGGGAAGATGGGATGGGTAGGGGAAGGGTTAATAAGGGAAAAGAAAAAAATGTGAAATAATGAAAAATGGAAATAAAGTGATTGTAAATGGGGAGGGGAGAGGGGGTGAAGGGAGGGAAGGGACAAGGGGAAAAAATGAGAACCAAGACTTGTCATGTAGAGGTACAAGATCCCAACAATGAATGTACTGTACTGTATCCCTAAAATGTACCAATAAACTCAATTAAAGCTGAAAAAAAAAATCTTACTTTAGCATCTGTTACATTGTTCCAAACACAGGAAACACATAAAATATGGCTGTAAAATGAGTAGCTTGTTGGGCTGGGGTTTTGGCTCAATGGTTCTGCCACCTGCCTTGCAAGCACAAGGGCCAGAGTTCAATACCCAGTACCAAAAACCCCCAACAAAAACCAAAAACAAAACCCACCAAACCAGGAGCTTGTTTACTCAGGAATGAATAAGATACCTTCCCCCTTTTTTTCTTACCTGCTTTAACTGAAAATGGCTTTTCTAGTAGAAATACTGTTTGTTTCCAGTGTGTTTTGGTACTCTGGGGTCCCGTAGAGAACATGACCTGCATTGGTAAAGTTCAAAAGTATCTGATGAAAGTACAAGATTTTTAATATCACGGTACATTAATCTACTAAATCAAATACAAGCTCCAATCGCTTACAACAGCAAAACGCTTATGATGAAACACCTTGGGGCACAAAAATAGAATACAATGTACTCTGCATAATTAATCCTTATGAATAACTCATGATACTTACCCTCTTGTGGCAATTCTTCTCAAAATATATATCAAAGTAGCCAGCAATTGCCTGTATTTTTTAAAAAGGGGAAAACAAATTATTATTAGACTGATACATTATTTATTTGATCTTTTAAAACATGGCAAATTATGTATCATTTCAAAGACCATATGCCTCTTAAACTTATAGCAGATCACTATTTTTCCTAAGAAAGAAGTTACAAGTCAAAATGAATACAGGTACCAACTCCCCATAAGGCATTGTAATCATTACGTAATGCAAGCCTATACTAATAAAAAACAAAAAACAAAGAAAAAGATGTTATAAGTAAAAACAAAGTAATCTAGTTTGGCCTTTCCCCCACAGAAACAACAAATGATAAGGGTAACAGGCAAATCATATAATTGATACATGTTTTGTTAGAGAAGTGATCAGGTTAGCGTACAAAGGTGAGAGACCAGGAAGAGCGAGGTCCAGCTGGGCCCGAGAGCCCCGGACTCTGCGTTGAGATGCTGACACGTGCCACAGGCCACCGTGGGCCATGCAGCCCCAACCAGGCCTCCGGTCATGCTCACTATAGGGCCACCCTCAGGTCCTCAGAGACCAGCAGAAGCACTAGCAAGGTGAGTTTGGTCCAGACTGCAGGTCATAAATAAGGAAATACAAATATGGCCTCAAGTGACATTTTGGGGATGGCTTAACGCACAGGAATAAACAATGGAAACTTGATTCTTTTATACAAAGCCAGCTTGCTAATTTCTTCTGATTACGTCTCAACTTTAAAATATTAAGGATATATTTGTGATGGGAACAACAGTAATAATTTTAAAATGTTAGCTTTTTATGAAAATAAAACAAAAACAAAAAAAACAATACTCTAAATAAAATTTAAGGAAAACTGCCAAAGTCTAAGGATTACTGCGGTAGTACAAAACATTCCCCAATGGAAAACAACATATTGAGATGACCATACAATTTTTTTGTTTAAAATTTAACCATTTTTTCTTTTCACTAATGAGACTAGCTTGACTTAAATTGTTTTTAAAACTAACATTAACTTAAGCTTATAAAGTATTAAAAATAAACATTGATTATTAAAAAAATCACTATAAAGCTAATTTGTATACTCTGCTGCTTCTGCTAATAATGTAAAATTTTATTGATCTTGAGGGGCTAATATGGATTGAGTCCAAAGCAAATTCAATATCTAACCTTGAAGTTCATTATATTTTACCTTGAAAGAAATAAAATATTATTCATACCCCTGCTAAACAAAACTGTAAACAATGTGGTACCGAGCTATAGAGTATCAAATGAAACCACATAATCAGAATATATTTCTAAAACAACTTTTTCAATTGGTTTTCTAATACTAGGATAGATACCCCTCCACAGACTAATTCAATTATTTTCTTCAATTTATTCCTGTTCATTGCTATGTGCTTAGTGCCCAGGACAGCGCCTGGACCATAGTACAAAATAGTTATTTGCTGAATCAATGTGCCTATTTCACATAATTCTTTTATATAGTATTTAACATCCTCTACATTAATTATAATTTATATTTTTATTTTCAGACCTCTCACCTGGCAAAATGTTATAGACAAAGTTCTCAAAAAATTTTAGCACATTAAAAGTTTCTACCTCTGATCTCTTAATTACGCCTGGCCTAACTATAAAAGGCAGGATAACGTTAAGTTATTGCCCTTTATATATTAAGCAGCTACAAATCAGCAAAATACACCAAAAGACATGAACAGAAGTTAAAGCAGAAAATTTATAAAAGGAAAATCAAATAATCCATAAGTCTGTGAAAGAAGTATGACCTATTTAAGGGGGTTGAAAAAAAAAGCAAAACCACCAGGCCCAATTCTCCCCTGGGGAGGGAAAAAGACTGGAGGCCGAGCTAGACACTAGTGGCCAGTGACTGAATCAATCACGGCCATGCAGCAGAAGCTTCATTAAAACCCCAAAGAGTGAGGGCCCAGGGCTTTGGGTGGGTGCGTGTAACCCACGCGCCGAGGGAAATCTGGCTTCATAAGCAGGGTCCTTCTAGACTTTTCTCTTTGTACCTTTTCATTTATAGCATCGATAATCTCCTCTGTAATAATAAACAGGAAAAGTAATCAATGTGTTTTGCTCTGGGTCCTGGGAACTTTTACAGCAAAGTACTGAAACCGAGGAAGAGACTGTGAAAATCCTTGGTCTGTAGCCACTCTGTGGACAGAGTGGGGCTAAGCTGGGACCCATCACTTGCCAATGGAGTCTGAAGAGGAAGCAGTCTCTTTGGGACAGCGCCTTTAATCCATGAAATCTGGGAAAATCTGGCAGTGTCACAAATGGTTAAACCATAGAACACCCAGCAAATGTCATAAAGAAGTGGAGAATTGGTTGTTAGTATGGGAAACCCAATGTGGTGTAACAAGGTTACAAGCAGAAAAGTTTTTCTTTAAATACTTTTTCACCATCAAAAGTAGTACTTAGGAAGTCACAATATACTTTAGGTGGAAAGCATCGTGACTGAAGTGTGTATGTTATGAGCACACATCACATGTTGTGCAAATGTATGTATCTGGAAAGAAATTCACCAGCCACCGTGGTAGGTTACAGACTTGTAGTATTCATTTACTTTGTGCTTATCTACACTTCTATTTCCAACAAAATGAGCAACTCCTGTGAAAATGAATTATTTTCATAATGCTTGTTTATTTATACTATCATACAGACAGGCATTCAACTCAGTTGCTGCCTGTGTCTCAGTTCCCTTACCAGCCACCCCACCCATCACTCATCTCTGTGTCCCTACAGGATAATGCCTAACATGTAGCAGGAAAGAACCATGTGGATTTGGGGAAGAACAATTCTACAATAATAACATTTCCCAACACAGAGATTAGGACCAAGAAAAAGTAGAGAGAAAAGATAATGGAACAGCCAAAGTAGTAAGAATTGTTGAACTATATGAAAACATTTTTTTAAAGTTTAGACCTGAAAGTAAAATATACAAAATACATGGAGATACATGTTTTTCAAATCTCATAAACAACAACAACAATCCAAAAACATAAAGACAACAACAAAAACAATAGGCTGGCATTAACTATACCTGAAGACAGGCTGATACAGGAGTTCATAAAATTTTAAAACATGAAAAAGATTTGAAAATACAAAGGTATTTCAGAATTCTTTCCCAATCCCAAGTCTGTGAATTTAGCTAAAAATCAAAGAAACAAATCCTACTGTAATACCCCTAATAAGACAGTGAGAGAAATACTGATTTAGGTAACCAATAATCAGAGATAAGCCTCAAGAGAAAGAGAAACACGGAAACAAGAGGTTTAGTTATTTTTTTTCTTTTTTGGTTATAGGCATTTGGGAAGGGATCTAAGACTAAGACAAATATGAAAATGCATTTATTTGATAGTCTCTTTGAAAGGTATCATTTTGCCTTCAACTACTCAAGCAGATTTTCCTTAATGATGTTTGCTTTAGAGTAATACTAAAAATGAGTTCTAGTGGCATACACGAAGAACACAACAGAATCAAGAGGTGAAGTTAGGAAGAAATTCACTTTTAAGAGTTAGATAACTGTCTCTTCAGAAAGTTTGCTTTCTTATGACTGAAAAAGTGTAACTCTCTTACTCTGAAAAAATAAAGGGAAGTTTCTAATTTCAAAAACAAAACAAAAACATTTATTCTCAAACATAATGAGCCTCAAAGGGACTGGGTTTTTTATTTTTTTGGCGCTGTAGTAGTTTCCCCTTACCCATGGTTTGGCTTCCTGTTTATTTCTCCAGGGTCAACCACAGCTTGAAAATAGTACATGGAAAATTCCAGAAATAATTCAGAATTTTTAAATAACTTTCACTACAGTATACTCCTACATTTGTACTATTTGTTGTTATTGTTAATCTCTCACTGTGCTTAACTTACAAAATAATCATAGCTATATATGTATAAGAAAAAATATGGCTAGAGTTTGGTACTGTCCCTGGTTTCAGTAATCCACTAGGGATGTTAAAAACTATCTTCCAAAGGTATGAGGAACTACTTAATAGAGATGCAAAGTAAGTCAAGAAAAAAAAAAACCTTTAAACTTGACTTGTAGTTATATAAAGCAACTGAATTATCTGGTGAGCCATTTGAAAAGAATAGTGATGTAATCAATCAAACACACCAGCTAATTTGAGAACTATTTTGCCTAGGAAAGATAATATACTACTATTTTTCAATTACAGCTTCACCCCCTTGTTACAGTCACTTTGCAGGCTATCTGGAAGTCTTTGTACGCTCCCTGCGGAAGTCAAATGCAGGAGTAAACAACCACAGTGCAAACTGGAAGGGATGGCTTACAGGTAACAACAACAAATAACTGGAGCTACAACTTGACATGTGCTTGGAAAGGGTCAGACAAGCGAGGAGTCTGACCACGGAATACATTTCTCCTTTGTCTCACACACACTTCTTGTCAGGAGCCTAAAGAACAACGAGGAAAACAAAAAATGTGCTAAGATCAAGTACCATACAAGAGCAGGGCTTATCTGCGAAAGCAAAGGCAGAAGTAGATAAACGTTCACTGAACTACACCAGAGTCAGGAAAACCCGAGTCCTAAGAGAAGGGAAAATGAGTGGTAACGATAACTACAATAAAAACAGTGATAATGATGACAGAAGAAATGAGAAAAAAAGGAAAAACTCAGGCATCCAGTAAATTTCTGGGATGGTTAGATCACTCCTGAAATTTGTTGGGAATCTTCCACAATTCCTTCAAAGCACGTGGGAGAACAGTACAAGAATATATAGCTTTACTTCACATCCTAAATATACTCCTAAGCCTTGTAATACAGTTTCAGACCTGTTTATCTCCTTTGTGGATTTCACAAAAAGGGGAAAAAAAGCATTAAAAATCTGTTTTAAGCCACATTGTTTTTTTCCTATA